GGTTGTTCTGCTCCCGGTGGCCCTCTGGGGGAATCCCCCGTTGCAGAGGTGTCCCCAAAGTGTGTGTATGCTTTATCCCTGCGGGCTGCCAGCGCTGCCGTGTTTATTTTTCCAAGCAAGGCTGTCCAGCAGGCTGGAGCTCTTATTTTTTTAAAGCGGCACAGGGGACACTTTGCCAGCGGCCAGGCACAGGCTGAGTCTGGCAGAGCTAAGCCTGGCAGCGTCTGCGAGCCCCAGCCCTCCCAGCACCGCAGGTTTTAACCCATCATCCCTGTGCTGAATGCTCGGTTGTGTCTTTTTCCCTTCAAGAGTTGGGAATTTCTCTGTGGCTCAGCTCGGAGCTTCCCATTCTCCATGCTGTCCATGGATGAACCTCGTGGTTCCCTCTGCAACAGCCGTACCCCAAATTCCCCTGGGGATCGTCTGTCTGCCCACCTCACACCACCCACAGGAGACTTCTTCCCCTGTCCACGCCGTGCTTGGATGTGTCTCCCACCCGCTTTCATAGCTCTCTATAAAGACAAGCAGATCAGGCACTTGCCCACAGCCTTCTCCCGTGGGTCCCTGTGTAAACTTTGCAGCTCTGTTTTCCCTGGGCTCGCAGCCCTGTCATCACCCCCCCTCTTCCTGACCTTCTCACATCCCCCTCGAAAGCAGCCCTACCTTCCATCTCTGTCCTTACTGCAGGGGCTTTAATGGTCTGAACCAACCCTCCCCCCTCAGTTTATCTCTCCCCTCCCCATGCTGCAGCCTGCCCATGGAATGATGGACAAGCTAAAGGTTGAGAAAATACAGTAAAATGCCTTTCTTATCCTGTAATGACCAAGGGGGAGGACACAACCTGATAAAAATGACAAGCCAGGAGAATTGAGAGCCAGACCCTTCACCTGCCTGTCCCTCAGTGCACAGAAAACACTTGATAGACCTGCTGTGATTGCAATTGCTGCAAGCCTGGAAAGAAGGGAATTAAGGACTCAGCCAATTAGAGCTACAGGTTTCTGACCAAAGAAATCTCCTTCTGCTACCTGTGAAGAGGCTAATTCAAAGACATATAGGAAGAAAACCTGAAGCAGGCTGATCATTTGGAAATGGTGGAAAACCATGCAGCCCTGTGTTTTATGGCCAGAGGGCTTTTCTTAGCATCACTGCATAGTCCCACTGCAGTGATGGAGGATCACAGAACAGATAGATCCAGCTGCTTGCTTGGGCCCGTCTCTGTCTTCAACCACTTACTTTGCTCCTATGTTTTTATTGGTGTGATTTTTGACAGCAACCACTCGTGCTCGATCAGCCATTTCCTAGCAGTGAATGACCAGGAGGCAAACATTTCATCAACATTTCATCCTCTAAATTGCCCCAAAGGCAGTCAAAGATGGTCTGCAACAGACACTTGTGCTGCAAACAAAGATCTCATTTCAACAAGCTGAACCTGAAGAGGCCACAGGGAGCGACAGATGGGGGAGATAACAGGCAGAAGGCTTCAGGTATTCCTATGGCTGCTTGAAGTGATTGTAATAGAAACTTCCAGGAATTTTCTACTCTCCTTCCTTGCTCCTGAGTCTGGATGGAGAATGAAGCAGGCTCTTTTTGCCTCTTTGTCTGCTCTACTCAGCCTCCCATCACCCTTGAGGCTGCTCCTCCTCTTTTAGCTCAGATACTGAAGCTCTCTCAAGCTGGCTCTTTCTTCCCATGCCCACCACCGGTACTTTGAGCAAAGAGCCTCACGTTGTACCATGTGGTCACCTGGTACTCCACAAGGCAATTCTTTGAAAATAATTCACTTTCTTTGGAAAGAATGGGCTGATCATTTAGCCTTCTCCTTGTTCCCTCTATTCCCTTCCTAAAATCATGCTAAAAGGAGGTTAAATGTCCTTCAGTCATTCCTTTACTTTCCTGTGCTGTACCCACCACAGAGATGGTACAAAACTGTGGTGGGAGGAGAGGCAGCACGAGCAAATCCTGTCTGTCAGGTGGTCTCTGTATCAAAACACAGCCCTGAGCTGGGTGCAGCTACTGTGGGGCTTGGGGAAGGGGGAACAGGGACCTGTGTAGTGTCTTGGCCAGGTGACTCAGTCTAACACTGTGGTAGCTCCACAGATCAATTTACCCTTTGCAGCATGCTGTGAAGGCATTTCAGACTCTCTGATCACTCCAGGCTGAGTGATGTGAGACGTCCCCCTCCCAGCAAATCTGGGTATCACCTGTTCTTTAACAGGGAGACAAAAAAAAAAAAAAAAAAAAAAAAAAGGAGGAGGAAAAAGAATCCCCACGATTAAGACAGGTTTAAAAATTTAATTATACACCATGTTCTGAAAGAGACAAGCAAGAGAGAATTATATGTGATGTATTTGCCAACAAATGTGAGCAGGAAGGCAAGGTACTGGGGAAAAGGGAATAGACTGGCAGCAAAATCCTTGAAATATTGCTGCTAAAAGCCAAATCTCAGTGAAGCCCTGCAGCCAAATTTACCCAAAGCTTGAATGGAGCTGAATGAATTGATCTTTTATAACTGCTGTGGTCCAGCCTAAATTCCTTCTTTGCACACCTGGAGTTGAAGAGGTGGGAATGCAGCCTGGGCTTCTCAGTTTGCACCTTTCTCTAAGGAAGAGCAGATTCCCAGCAGCAAGGCAGGCTGGTCCCCCCTCTGCCACACTCACTAAGGCCCTAAATATGCCAGAGGACTTTTGGGAAGCCCCAGTCACCACACTGTGTCACCTCCCTGTGCAAGGAGGGATCCAAGGAAGGCCTTGGAGTCAGGACCTTCCATGTGATCCAGGTTCACATTTAAACCCAGATATATGATCAGGATGGAAGAATTTCTGCCCCCTGCCCAACCCTAAGGTGATACCTTCAGCAGAAGTGGGGCCACTAAGCTAGTCCCAAAGTCCTCTAGAGTCAAGGTTCCCCTTTTTAAGACTTGTGCCCTTTCAAACCCCTGTGATTTCTGCAGAAACCTGGTTCTGCTGTAACCCTGAACAACATCCCACACTGGTGGCTCCAGGCACTTGGCCCCATCACAGCACAGTTGTGAAGTAGGTCAATGGCCATGTGCACAACAGGCTTTTCCTGGGAAACCAAGAACAAACTGGACACAACAGGTAAACTGGTCCCAGCAAGCATTTGGCAAATGGAAGATCTAGCCCTGCAATTACTGTAGGTAATGAGGAGAAAGGACTACAGGTAACCAAAAAATGGTTCAGGACCTCAAGAGACCATGTGAAGGAAGAGCTGAAAGCTTTCTTCTGTGATAGAGAAGGAAGGAGCATGGGTCAACCTGTGCTTTGAGGAGCTCAGCTCCTCCCACAGCAGCTCTGGAATGATTAGCTTCACCTTGGCAGCAAAGAGGCTTATTTAAGGGAGAATCAACTCCTGGCAAATAAAGATCTTCATCCTCCACATATAGCAAAGCTGAAAGATCAGGTTGCTGAGAGGGACAGGGCTTTGGGTCGCTGGTCAGCAGCCACTCTGCTCCTTTGCTGTGCCTCTTCTCAGCAGCACTGCAAGTAAGGCACTTCCCAAGTCAGCATTTATAACCTGGCCATGACCAAAGCCCACCCTGGGGACTTTAGTCTGAGCTCTGTATGCAACACCCGTGCAGGAGGAGGGAGGGTGGCTCTGCTCTGGCTGCTCCTCCAGTATAAAACTCCTTCCCAGGACCAAATCTGCATCAAGGTGAAGGAGAGGCCAGTCTGCAAAAAAAGCATCAGGATGCTTCAGAGGAAGATGTTGGGAAAGAGAGCTGGAGTAGAGGTAGCTGTGGCTGCAAAGGCTGGGGGTGTGAGGCATTTCAACCCCTCCCAGTTAGCAAGGGGTGTGACTGGGTTCTCACTTTTTCATTTCTGTGGTTTGTGTTTCTGCCTTCTGCAGCTCACACACCTGCAGTTTGTTGTGATTTTATTTGTGTTCTGTGATGGGGTTTGCAGTGTGTTTGGTTTGGTTGGTTTTTATTTTCTCTGGGATAACCAAAGATGAAGTTGCAGCCTGTGAACTGTGGGCAATTTAACACAGGGCACACAGGCTGTGCAGCTTGATCCACTTCTGTAATAAGAGTGTTTGCCTCCTGCTAAGGTGTTCCAACCAAGGTCAGTGGAAATAAACACTATGGCCAGGCAGCTTGAGACAATTAACAGAAAGCATAAAGAGAGCCAATTGGCCCAAGCTGGTCAGATTAGGAAACAACAGCCTTTGTAAGCCTGTGGTTCAGAGGAGGGAGACGTTTTTCAGTAGGAACTTTTGTCAATTCTCCCTTGACTGATGCAATCCAGCATGATGGTAATGAAGTCAGGGAAAGATGCTCTTTGATGTTAAGACAGCGTATCAACTTGTCAAGAGACTGTTTCTTGTGTAGGTTTTTTTTTTTTTGCTAAGGAGCTGGAAACCACAAAGGTCCAAATGAGCCCTGTGGATATCCACAGAAGTTCTATACCAAGGTGAAAAATCTCTCTGGCAGACTGAAAAAAGCCACATTTGCACAGTGAGTTCAGCAACAAAGGCTGGTGGTGGAACTCCCTGAAACCTAAAGGTGTTTCCTATAAATATCTGTGTTAACAGGGCCTGGTGCAGAGGGATAATTTTAATCAAGCTGGGTCTGGGAAGCCAGGATATTTTTGACTTAACCTGAAACGTGTTTTGTCTTCCTTTTGACCAGAGGTCAGGAAAAGACTTCGTAGTTAAAAAACTGCTGGCAACTGAGGCACCTCTCCTCTGGCTTTATGATCACTGGGCAACCAGGCTTAAATGTTCTGGGAGCAAGTTCCACCAGCTTGTTTCCAACCATGGTAGGTCCTGAAATAGCAGACATCAGACCTATGACTGGTTCTTCGACCTAGCAGTGCTATTTTGGCAGCAGGCCCAGGGTTAAACATAACAAGAGTCATTTTCAGTCCTTGCTCTCTTGAAGGTCAGTGGCCCAAATGGTTGGATGTTTGTCTTAGCTGTTTCCGGACAAGGTCTGCATTTTGTAATGATAAGGCAAAATTCAGAGATCCTCGTGTTGGCAATCTCCTGCTGACTCTAATTGGAAAGCAAGTTTTTCCTGAATAAGGATGTCAGGATCTGGTCATTGGCAATTTTTAATTGTTTTGATTCTTTTGAGCAGGGTGATTTCTTGTGGCTGCTCTAAAGGATCGCTGCTCCTTTTACCTCCAGTCCATGAGTTTCACAGGATAGTGCAGTTCCTTCTTAGCTTTAAGCCCATTAAGCCTGGCTTAGCAGAATCACCCGCTGCCAGGTGAGACTTTGACGTCCATTCATCTGCTCAGGTCACATGGAAGAAGCAGTCTCCCTCTCAGCAATCACTCTGGCTCTCCCTAGCTTGCCAAATGCCTTCTGAGATGAGCCTTGTCCTCTCTACAGCTCCCTTAGAAAGCTATCAGAGAGGTCAGCCACAAATTGGTCCCATTTTTTCTGCCAGACCTCTTTGGCCTTGGCTTTCTCATCCGGTAGCATGGCACTGTATCTGTGAGGAGGAGGAAAGTCAGTATCAGGCAGGAGACAAGGGGGCAGCTATTTCTGAAATGAAAAGGCAGGAGGCAGCTAGAGATTAACCCTTGCAGGACATGCCTGCACCAGACAGAGTAATGTGGTGTAAAAGAGGCAGGAGCCAAGGAATGTGCAGGAATGCTCTGGGCATCATATCCAAACTATTTTTGGACATTCAGAACTGTCCAGTTAATAGAAAAAGGGGTTAAACACACCCAAACTAAATGCTAGTTTTCCTGTGTTTCCCAGATGAGTCATGGCTCTGCAGCAAGTCAAATTTTGGCAGAAATAGACAAGTGATACAAAGATTTCTCCCAAAGCCAGACCCAGGTGGTGGAGGCAAGTTCACAAAGAATGGAAAAGGAAGAATACACTGAGGCACAGAGTCAGAGAAAGCCACTTGAGAACACAGGCAGAGGAGCCTCTGGGCTCCCTGTGTCCTGCCTTTGCAGGAGACACACAGAGGAGATTTTGGGTTACCAGAAGCCCAGTTCATGTGGCAGAGGAGACTTGTGGGGCCAAAATCCAAATGCAAGCAAGAGGAGCAAGCTGATGGTCTCCTTATGACAAGATGAGAGAGGTGATGAACTTACTTTATGGAGTTGAGTGCGAGTTGTTTTAGGGTCCTCAGGTCAGCATTCATCCCTCCAATGGCCATGAACACCTCGTAGAAGTCATAGGAGACTCCCTTTGCCCCAAAGATGGGGGGATCATCGGGGCTGATCACAATGGGGTGCCCCTCAGCCATGAGGTCAGCTGCAGGGTGACTCCTCAGGTCAGCTATCAGCAGCAGGACCTGGGTGGGGAAGAGAGGGAGACAACACCAGGTTATTGCTGCAGCTGTGTCACACTGACACCTGCCAGGGCTGCAGGTAGTGGCAGGGAGGGACAGGCTCCAGGGGACTGCTCAGAATGTTTTCTGCTCTCAACTGCTGCAGGAGGAGCCAGCTTGTCTCCTGTACCGATTGTACAAGGAGATTAATTTCTTAAACAAGTCATCTTAATCAAGGCCAGTGGGGTGAGTAACTCGTTTCCTATTTAGAACAATTTGGCTGTGAGCAATTCAGGAGCAGTCTTTTGGTTACACATTTGTGGTGGTGCTTAGCTCGAGGCATCTGGAGCTGGTATCAGGGTTCTTTCCCTTAAGGGTCACACCAGTGAATCTCCACCCCAAAGTATCCTTTCAGCTGCACCCAGGGGACAATGGCACCATGCTAATGTGCTGCAAAAGAGTTCCCACTGGTTATGAATTCTGCAAAACCAAGAACTTCCAGTTACAATCACAGCTTCTCAGCCTCTGGCCCTCCTGGCTTTGAAGTATTTTCAATTATGTCTCTTAAGGCACCTCTGTGGCTCTGAGCCTCACCTCCACTAGGGAGGACTGTCTTCCCAAGTTCCTCTGGATATTAATTTAAATTTTTTTTGCTGACTGGTATTGCAAGCCTTGTATATATTCTCTGTGTACATCTACGTAGCAAAGTGCAGTATAAAGTGGTACAAAGGAAACTAAGCCAGCCCGTGTGCATCAAAACTTGTAGCTGTCCCCCCCAGCTGACCCTCACAGCTATGGTAAACTCCCTTCCAGTAACCCTGCCACATAACAACATACCTGGTTGGAGATGGGACAGACTTCCACAGGAATATCCATCTTCAGAGACAAACTTTTGGCTACTGGGTGTTTAGTGAGAGCAAGTCCATGGCCAATCCTGCTGGTGTTCAGCAGCAATGCATCCAGCACATTATTGTCTACAGAGGTGCCCTGCCATTCTGAGCAGAGACAGATAAAAATCAGTGCAGTGCTGTGAGGAAATAAAGCTTCTCAAACTGCTAAATGGTTTTGTTAGTAGATGTCCCAGTTGTGAGGTGAGAGGGTTGCTCATGCTCAGTTTCCATTCACATTTTCAGTGAATCAGGGATCTAAATCTGCCCAGGATATTGCCCAGCATAGAGATACCCACTCATCTCACCTGGCTTTAGATGTTTACAGTATTGCTCTTGCAGCTGAGCTAATTATGCTGGGCTCCATTAATTGTCAGTGGAGAGAAGTAACAATTATTGGGGAGTAGCCTGGCATTGGAATGAGATGTATGGAGGCTTAGAAATGCTTGCTCCTGCCTGTGGCTATAAAGGGAGCCCAGCCACAGGGTAACCACACTTCTAGAGATGTCAACATGCAACACACAAGGTACAAGTTAGACGTGACTCTCATGGTTAGGATAAATCCCACCAAGACAGACTGAATAATATATTGCTAATAATAATACATTGCCCCAGAAATGAAGGGTGCATCAATTACTTTGACGATTCTGTTCGGTTAAGACTCGAGTCTGGCTCAAACATTATTTCACCTTAAAATGTAAAATGATGGTTGGGGGACTCTGCTGCTGTTAGGGGTGGGAAGTGAGTGCTGTTCCAAGGGGGAAATGGCCACCAGCAATAACTCCTACACGTGACTCCTTGTCACAGGAGGTCAAAGATGCTGAGCAATGTGACACCTACAGTCAAAAGCAGGGAGCAGGGAAGGGAGGGGTCATGTAGGAATGTCACAGCTCCAGACTGGTGTGGGAAGAAGCACTGGGGAAATTGGTTATGTGCACATGTATGCACACATATCCTCTTGACAAAGCCAGCAAGCAAGCCAGGCTTGCTGCTGCTGCTCTTTGAAAGATTTCAGTCCTGCTTCTGTAAGCAGTAAAAAGCCTTGAGTCCTCCTGCTCACCAGTCTCCCCAGCATGGAAGAAGTATGGCAAGTTGACCCCCATGGAATATGGGATGGTCAGGGCATCCTTCAGGTCCCACAAAGAATGACCTTCATCCTCATCACCAACCTGGGGGAAAGCAAAAAGGTGTTTTTGAGCACGCTTGGGAAGATGGTGGGACTTAGAGCTCTTTATAAATGAGGTGCCAGCTGTGCTGAAATTACAATGCTGTGGGGTAGGGAGCTGATTCTTTCAGGGGATTTTGTCAATTACCCTGAACAAAATCCTTAGCTGGAGGATTTGCAATTCATTAACACTGATTTCAGTACAGCAGCAGAGGTTCTGGCTCTGGTATACAACATATGCCACGGTATATATGTGGTTTTATCACCAGAGGTTAATATGAAACCCCAGAAAAAAACACAGTTACCAGGTCGAAGCCTGCCAGGGTGTCTGGGAAGCGGGCTCTGAGTGCCATGGCAGTGAGGATGGCTTCTTTAATCTGGGAAAGATTCAGCATCCTAGAGAGTGAGAGAGAGAAAGTGCTGACTCCCATGGGCTGCCTTCTCGGGGTTTGAGTTGTGAAATGGGGCCCCCAGGGGGATTTCCAAAATGCAAGTTGCTCCTGAATCTGACAACCAGCTTCAGTTCTCTAGAGGAACAGCAGTAGAAAATTGATATTATGAAAGGAAACCCATGAATGACCAGGAAATGCCTGGCTAGACCCTGCTGTCACTTGAGTTGAGGCATGCTTGTCTAACTCACTGGTTTTCCTATTTACCAAGCAGGGAAGGGAATGCAACAGCGTGGAGAGAAAATGTTTAATTTTTTTTCTTTGCTCCCAGCTGTTTTGCTGGGAGGTGAGGCAGTAATTTCATTTCAAGAGAGTTTTACATTTAGGTTCCTTCCAGCCCTATCAGACTTAAACTTTTCAGTGCATTTCGCAGACTGTGTCCATACCCAAGCTGGCCAGAGAGGCAAGCCAGCTCTGGAGAGGGCATTGTGCCAAACCAGAGCGAGCAAGTGCCGCTGAGGGGTCTGCTCTACTTGCTGAGGATTACCTCACATGACTTCGTGGCATCTGGCTGACTTGGAGAGCAGCCTTGTGCCCGCCTGGCCGGGCAGCAGCACGAACATAACATACACAGGCTGCGGGGAGCACAGGGGACCTCTGCCACACTGAGTGCCCACACCGGGCACTGCTTCACTCTCTGCAGGGAGAGAGAGTGCATCCAGGCTCGGGAGGAGAGCAGGCACAGCTTGGACATGCACACAGGGAGCCCTGCCCGGGCTCATTCCCACTCCCAGGGCTCAGGGATGCGTCGCCGCGCTCGCTTCGCACGTACGCAGATTTATATAGAGGAGTTCTCACCCCCAGCCTTTTACACGTGCCAGGGAATGTTTCAGGAGTCAACACCCCAGCTCTAACAACACGTGTGGACATTGCCAGCCAGCTTTGGCGCTCCAGCCCAGCCCTTGGCATTGCTCCTCCCAGCCCTCTGCCCGCCTCCAACACAGCACAGCCCTGCTCAGCCTCTACCTGTGTGCTGCAAATATAATCTTGGCTCCAACAAAGTCTGGGTGCTCCTTCACGAACTGCCTGGTCACTTCCCGGTAGGTTGCCACAGACCATGATTTATTGTGCTGGGTGCCATCCAGTTCATACACCTGCAGCATGAAAAGCAGGTGACAAGCAGTAGTTAGAAGAGGTTTTACTGGAAGGTGGGAGAAATGAAGTGACGAAAACCTTGGGACGAGCAGAGTGCTGTGGTTCTGAGAACAGGGCAGGAACACAAAAGCAGTAAAATCTGTGCAGAATATTTTCTTCTTCAAGCCTTAACCAGCTGGCAAGAACCAAGAAGTGAGTTTCCTCCTTCCTATGTGATACAAGTTTCTCCGTGTTCAGACATGGCAAGCAAACGCCCTTGAAAACCCAGAGGAGACCATGACCTCTTCCCCCTGTCTGTGTCCATGCAGGAGTGTTCTGTCCAGCCGTCTGGGCTCACACAAGCTCTGTGCCTGCAGTGGCAGTCTGTCAGCCAAGGCAGCCCCAAGGCACGCTATGGCTGAGCTCCACAAGCTGCCAGCTGAGCTGGGCTTCTGCTCCCCTCTGCCAGGGGTTTGCTTCATGACCTTGACTCAGTCATTTAGTCCTGCCGTGCTTTCCCAGGTCTCTGGCTGCAAACTGGGAAAAATACTCCTTTTGGCATGCTCTGTCTCATCAACTTGCTCTGGAGGTTCCTCATTGCCAGGGCTGTTCTCGGGGCTTTTGCCCTGATTTCAGCAGGGGTGGAGACCTTGAATGTCCCACTGATACTATCCCACAAAGGCCCTGCCTGGAGTCACTCACAGACAGCAGCTGAAACCACTCCATCAGTTCTCCTCTCACCCTTCTCACCATTCTTTTCTCTGTCACCTTTCTCCTCCAGCCTTCAGCTGCTCCACTTCACCCCCTAAGTCCCTCTCTGCTGCTGTCCCTTGCAGGGATGCCCCACACCCCATCACAACGTGGTGTCCCCCTTGCAGGCACCAGCAGCTGTGGGGCAGCTGCAGATGCTCAGAGGGAATTTTCCCCAGCTGCAGCCCATGGGAATGTGAGACTTTACACAGCTGAATCTGCAAACACAGCTGGGCTTAGGGGGCTTTTCCACAGTGTTTGCTGTTTCACACTAAATCCCAGTTTTCATTTACTTTACCTCAGGGGCCGCTTCTGGCAGGCTTTGCTGCAAGGAAAGCTTTTGCAGTGTCAGCTCTGCTGTCCCAGCCCCGTGGAGCATCTCCAGCCACACGAGCATCTTGCTATTCCCATCACACCCTTGACTTTCCCCACGAAGCGTTTCCCTGCCCTGTCACCCCAGCTGCAGCCTGGCTGTCCCTTCTCTGCCCACTCTGCCCTCCATCCCAGCGTGGCTGCAGCTCCTGGCATTCCCTGTGTGGTACCCAGGCTGCTCAGCCTGCCCTGAGCTCACAGCACATCAGCCCCAGGGCTCTGCAGCCTCCCACAGCTGCTGCCAGCATTAGGAGCTGGATGGGAAGCAAATCCTCCCTGCCAAGCCTCTCTTCAAAAGGACTTACAACCGTGTCTAAGGGCTGATGGTAAAGGCAGGGTGTTTTCCAGTCAGCCCCACGCAGTTGTATTATGGCAGATACTCTTGGCCTGGAAACCTGTGTGGCTCACACTGCCTCACAGCACAGGCATTTTGATATTGCTGTTATCTTCTCTTTCCAGGTACCCCAAAAACAGGTGGTGGCTGAATTCAGAGCAACCCCCAGCAAAGTAAGATGCATGTAAACTTTGTGGACTTTTTCACATCCCTTTTTTTTCCCTCCCCCTTTGCAATACATCCTTTTCCTCTCAGGCAGGATAGACTGACAGAACTCCCACCCCCACAGTCCTGCATGGAGCTGGGCTGGAAAATTGTACGGGAAAGGTGTGTCTGCAGTGACAAAATTGTCACTGGGAAAGTGGGAACACGTAGGGTGGTGTGGTCTGCTGGTGCCTGGGGAGGCATTAGGACAGAGTGGGTGTGTAGGACAATCTGACCAGCTCTGGGTGACACACAGGGAGAAAGGCTTTTAACACCAGATTTTGGTGTTAATGGCAGTGAAAGGAGCAGTTCATACTTCATGCACACAGCCAAAATTTTAGGTTGTCTGCAAATTTTGAAAGGTTGTGTTTTGCCAATTGATTGACTCACCTATTCAGAGTAGTCATTCTGAAATAAGATGAGGATTTAAAATAACATAGCTATTCCAGAATAAGGCTCTATTCAAGACAGGAAATTTCTTCAGAGTAGCTGCCACAGAATAGGTGATTCTGCTGCAGACAAAACTGAGTTACCTTTTCCCAATGAGCAAGATTTTGACACAGCTCCCAGTCTGACTGTACAATGTAGTTTTGTGCCTGTGTCACAGCAGGTATCTCCCTTAGCCATTAAGAACAAAGAATCTCTCACTTTCAAGCCCTTGCCTATGCAAATCTCCAAGAAAGACATTTGAATATGATCAAGGTTTTCCAGCATCCTTAGAAGGGCAGGTATGCAAACACCCAAAAACTAAATTCAAGATAGGGCTTGAGAAAAGTTATGGAGAAATAAGGATTTAAAAGAGTACTAGAGAAGCCAAACCCCACGTACCGCAGGCAGGATAGCTCTTATCTCAACATACTGTATGTTATCTTCATAGAGCTCCAGCAGCCCCTGGTAGAAATAGGCCTTGAACACAGGTGCATAGCAGATAAGTCCAGAGGCAGTGAGAAAGATTTCTTCAAATCTTTTCCAAATGAAAGTCTGAGAGGGGTAGGCCAGCTCAGGGGTATCTGTCACCAGGGTCAGGTTTCTCAGCAAGCTATAGAAAAGGGAGAAGAGAAGGAATGAGGAGAACAAACAGAGCCTGTTGGCACTGCAGTACAACAGGCATAACAGCGACTGGTGCAACCAGGAAGCATTCAGGTCATTCTTCTGCCATCTGTATTTACTCCTCTAATAGCTGGCACAGAATTTGTATGATATATGTCAGCAAGGTAGGAGTAGATGCTTAAAACCTGCCCCTCCCTTTTTCAAGGAACAGAGTTACAAAAGCAAGTACAGTGCTTTTATATAAATTATACTCTGCTATCTCTAATCTGAAAGTAGGCATGCACATTACTCCTGCAGACAATGTTTTCCCAAGAATCTTCAATGCACATAAGATGTCACAACACTTGTCCCTCTGTTCAGCTCCTAAAAGTCAGACTGAGTTTACAGGAGATGCCATGTACTGGGCCACCACCAACCTGCTTGCTGAGCCTGTAAGTTGTCCTGGTACCTTTGTATTGTCAAAATATGCCATCTAAAAAAAAATGCAAGGGGAAGACAATTCTGGCTTAGAAATAATTTTTCCCCACCAGTGAGAACAAACCTGAGGCCCTGCCTGCTTTGCTGGTAGCTACTTCAGGGAAACAACTGATAAGAATCTGCGAAGAATGAAGAGTCCTGGCTTTTCCTTAGTGTGATAGAAATGTATTTATTTCCTCTATGCACTCAGCTGGCACATAAACCTCTTTCAGAAATCCAGAGAGACAGCGGGTAGTTTTATCAGAGTTTAAAGGAGCCAGTAAATTACAAGATTATCTAATTGTGAATGACAGCTTGCATTTAGGACAGGGTGAGCATCTGTGCCACACCACCATCCTCTGCCAAGCTGATAGCCTTCATCCCACCTGAAGCCCTGCCTCTGGCAACAGCCCTCCTTCTTCCACCTGAAGAGTAGTTCATAATAAATTTCTCCTACCAGTGGACAAAGTCTAAATGGCAGTGCAGGGGTGATTGAGTTCATTCCTGGGTGGACAAATGGAAGCAATCACAAAAACCTACAGATGTTTCCATGTGCTTATCTCGTGCCAGGGGCTAAGCAGGTTCAGACAGAAATACCTTCAGCCATGCTTTGGCTTTCATCTGAGTATATAGTTTCCCCTCAATAACAGCTACTGATCTTTAGTAATGTTTCCTGTTTGATGTCTTGGTCCCCATCCTTGTGCAGTGCTCTGCTCTGTTATATGGGAGGTGTGGCTTTGATTTGTGATCTTGTTATCTTCATCCAGGACACTTCTGTGGATGGAATTAAACCCCCATAGCACCCCTACAGATGTAAAATGTGATCTGGTCCAAATTCATAAACTAAGACATCCTGGACAGATATGCCTTTTGAATCCCTCCATCCTGCCCATAAAACAAAGCCCATTCCCCCAGGATTTGCCTCATGTTTCACTCTCTAAGGATTATCTTCCAGGGGCTGCAGTTTCATTTTTTCCTCACTCTGTTAATTTCTTTGCCAGGAACAATTTTTTAGAAGCAAACCTGTGCTACTACTATTAAGGATGAGACCTTAAATGCTCAACAGTCAGGAAAATTCAGAGTTAAGGTTTCCACAGCAACTTGGGCTCTGCCCTCCCATGCATTACAATAGGGCCTTTGGTGCCATTATCACAGGACACTGGGCAACCCCAGCCACTGTTCAGCAGTCCATGCAAGCAGAGAAGACCGAGCTGGACCACGGAAGCCTCGGAACCAGGAATGCAGCAGTTCAGGAGCATCCTGGAGGTGCTGATCCGGAGGGCAGCCGGCAGAAAGGGGTGTGCTGCTGCTCAGCAGGAAGGTTTCGTGTGGGAAGAGCTGGGGAAAAAGAGATTTTTCCCCTTTCCCTCGTGGCCGAAGGCAGCTCCCCTCCAGCTCGGCACCTGCCCGGAGCCGGGAGCCGAGCGCGGCTGCTCCCAGCGCCCAGGGAAAAACCTCCCCGTGGATCAAAAAGCCGTGCAAGCCCCATCTCGCCACTCCAGCAGCTCCGTTTCAGATAAGGATGGGTGATATTCGGGCTCCCACCACCTTCTCCCCCTGTCCTGTGAGAGAGCACCCGGCTCCTCCGGCAATGAGCGCACAGAGCGGGGCTCTGCTCGCTGCCTTTCAATCCGGCTGTACAAACTCGTGGTTGTTTATTTAGCCTGTGCTCTTGGGCTAGAAACAGCAATAAATCCCCACACCACCCTGCTCCTAAAAGCACATAAATCAAATTGTACTTCTCTTTATAATCCCCTCCCCTTTGAGACTGATTATTGATCCTTACAACTGGTGAAGATTTATTGCATAATAGTGATCCATCCTTGATAACCAGAAAATCTCCTAAGGGTTTGGGGGCTTTTGCCATCAGTAGCTCATGCAGATGAAGCAAATACATTCATAAATACATTTTTTTGCTTCTTTTCTGGAATGGACTTTCACCAGTGATCAGGTGCAGACTACAAATAGCCTTCCATGTCATGTCATATATGCACTGAACAATGCTATTGCAATGCATATGCCCAAAGGGGCACAGCTAAAATGACCAGCCAAGGATTATTTATTTTCAGCTGTAGGTTTGTTTTCTCTTTTCCTGGGTTTTTTCCCCGTTTTCCTTCCCTTTGCTATATAATACAGAAGTGAAAGGTTTTGTTGCCTTGTTTTTCAAGGGGTTCTTTTTCCTGCTCCTTTTTCTGTTCTTGATGGGTAATTATGCCCCTCTCCTCACTGTAGTATCTAAATGTCTTCCAGTGGTGCATTAAATAGTGTGACTAACATCTGTCACATGTGGTTCATTCTCTTTCTCTCGCTCTCTCTCATCCCCTCTTCTTCTCCCCAAGGAGAGACTTGTAGAGGGAGTGGAGTGCTTTGTTTCTGTAGTGGATTTTTATTCCTTTTTCCCTCCTCATAGTGCACATGCTGCCCTATTTTTCTGTGAGATAAGGCAGTCAGAGGACAGGGAGGGGAAGGTGATGGTGGCCCAGGCAGCCAGCACCCAGGGGAGTTGTCCCTGAAGCCTCAGCCGTGGTGTCAGCTCCCTCACAGATGACTTCATCTGGTGATAGAGAGCTCTGCTGGGCACGGCCTCAACCTTGGACTGCTAGTGGGGGTTGGTATTTTACAAATATCTGGAATGTCAATGCTCCTTCCCTAAATATCTGCAGGCATGCTCTTGCCTCGGAGATGGCAGCCATTGTGCTGCTTCTTGAGGGAAAGAATGACATTCTCCTGTATCATAATTGATTGTGAAGAAAATAAGCTAGGATTGTTTTTCCTTTCTGATATGAAAGCAAAATTCCCTTCCTTTCGCTGTCCCTTGGCCTGTGGTCTCCTGGCTCTCCTAACAGCATCCTTTTGGAAGCTTACCAGTAACAAATACTCAGGGGTCTTGGCCCATCAGATGTGTGTTTTGAATAGGAATTATTAGACTTTCTCCTGAGGGAAACAAACAAAAGGAGTCCTTCCAAAGCACACATACACAAATACACACACACACGTGTATAGGTACCTAAAAATGCAAACAGCAAAAATCATCAAGATTCCCCTTTCTTCCACCCCTTCCTGGTCAGAATTGCTGTATGGTGAAAGAGGTGCAGCTCCTCAGAAACATTTCCATTGTTCCTTCACGTTTGCTGATCCACCCTGTCTTGCATGAGAGCCCTTCCCTGCTGCCATAATCCCTGGACACTTCCTTGAAACCACCCAACTATCCATCCGTTCTTTCCTCTGACATCTGCTTTCTCTCAGCTTGTCAGTGCTCAAGGGCAAAGAGGAGTGCAGGAGAGAGGTAGCCTGGGATGCACATGTTCAAGAGACTGGGAGAGTTTCCAGAAACTGAGAAGCAGAACAGATTGGGGCCTATTTCTGGCTAGAGACCTATTTCCAGACGGCCAAAAACATTCCTAACCCCTAGACTAGTGCCCAGGGATTAGATGAAAATAGGAGGGGAAGTGCCTCAGTGTGGCTGTTGTTGGTGTGTTTGCACATTATGCATAATGACTCCTCTGTGATTTTGTGATGATGAGCATGGAAGGGCAGAAAATGAAGGACAACATACTCAAATGGGTAAGTGAGCACCCAGGACGCCAGAGATCCAAGTTTGTCCTTGGCTCAGGCATGTGTTTGCCGAGGAAAAATCACTTCATTGGCCTCTGCCTCGGTTTCCCCTCCACATTTGGGGAGACCTTTGCAGTGAGACTCTGTCTTGTGTCCCTGCCACTCTGAAGTCCTGCTCTGACTTGTGGCCACTAAACACTGTCAGACCAATACAAAAGAAGAGGAATGTGGCAATACTGCCTCTGAAAAACAGGTGTTTCCACATAGGAACAGAGGGAGCCACACAATGCACAACCCAGGTGTACAGGGTGTACAGGATGCCCTGACCTTTAACCTCTGCCAGAAAGTGGCATCATGCCATGGAAACACAACTGAAAACAAGTGCAATGAAGGATTGCTCCTGAGAAACTTTCTAAATGCCCAGTGAAATTGCTTGGGCTTTAAGGAAGTGAAGCTGTTTCAAAATCCAATCCCTTGCACGTTATTTGTGGGTCTCGTGGAGTGGTTGAAGAGAGGTGGTGCTGTCATCTTTCTTTCCTCATCACTCCCAGCAGAAATGGAAGGGAGCTAATGGGGAACCAGTTTTCTCTCTGGAAGACAGAGACAAGTGACTTCTCACTGGATCTTATTTCATCCCATCGTGTCAGGGCAGTTGAGCCTCAGGATATAAAAGGTCAAGAACCCAGGGTCTGGCATCACTTTCTCCTTCCCTTCTCTATAAGAGAGAGAAGTGGATGCCTTGGAGAGTCAGACCCCTCTGCCCTACCCACTGCTGGTTTTGGAAAGGGAAGGCAATACCATGCCACAAATCTGGAAGCTCCTCAGCTTCCCAACCTGACCTCCTTCCCAGGCACAGAGCCCAGACAGCTTCCACGTGGAGGGGATACCAGCTCACTAAGAGTTAAAAAGTCCCTATTTAAGAGCAACCTCACTGAAGAGCACTGCAGTAAAATCCACCAAGTTTCACTTCAGAAATGCTGGAATTAGGGTCTTCTGCATTGCCTTAATCCATCCCTCTCCTTGTGTGTTGGCATGGCAATACTGTCTGTCATTACATGACACCCCACACTCTTTTTTTTCTCTAGACCCCAGCCCCTGGAGCGCCAGGGACAGCGGTGCCCTCTGAATGGATGGCTACTCAATATTTCCCTTTGTCCTCATCGCTCAGTGTCTGCCTTCATGCATTATTTAGCGTGCTCTCTCCAGCCCCCCACACACCACGGCAGAACTGCATGCTTCTTCTTGGCCTTTTCAGCAGGGCTTTGTCCCGGGATCAATGGCCCCTGGATGGGGAGATAGGATTCTGTCTTCCCATCACCACTGGCTGGAGGGGGAGCCAGGCTCTTCCCAGCCACCTGTAAGTGAATAAATGCCAGGTGGTTCAGACCAGCCCTGACCTGATAAAAGGCTGCCAGCAGTAAAGGCAGGAGCTGCCTGCAGGGAGGGGAGCTCCTGCAGGAGGGTGTGATGCTCCAGGGAGCCAGCTGAGCTGTGAGCACCTGGACAGCTGCTGGAGCCTTGCCTGTAAGGGCAGAAGCTCTGTTAGCAGGAGGGTGTTGGAGGGGAAGGAGCCCCAAAACCAGGCAGGGATCCTGTGTGTGGAGTTCCTTGGCTCACCCAAGGCTTGCCCAGCTCCTGGTGCCTGAGTAGCCTGTTGGGAATAAGCACCTCGTGCTTCCAGGTGATGGGTGCCAGATTTGTGGCATGGTATTGTCTTCCCTCCCCAAAACCAGCAATGGGCAGGGCAGAGGGGTCTGACTCTCCAGGGCATCCACCATCCCTCTCTTATGGAGTCTAAGCCTCAGAAAACAAGTTTGGTGTTTGGAGGGAGAGTTGGGTTGGGTTTTATTTTGGGAAGTTTGAGCGGTTTTGCTAGTGCAGTAATTCATATAAATAGTTTGCCCCACTTCTTGCTCTGAATCAAAACGATGACTTTGCAAAGGACTTTTCTGCTGTTGGGGAGAGTCTATTCATCAGCTACCTGGCTTCCTCATCCAGTTTTTGAATACCTCACTGGATGAAGCAACATGCAGCCTCATTGAGAGCCCATTCAGCCTGGGTGCTGAAGAGAGCTGGGGACAGGTCTCATAAATCTACTTAAGCTACTGTCCTCAGCTTGTCTGCATAGAGAGCCAGAGTGAGTGTGCACAGAAAAATTCAGTTTTTATGGTCCTTGACTCTAGCGTACTTAATACAGCAGCCTTCAAGCTCTTATATTGCTATTTTTTACATGCACAGCCCCAAGTGGAGCTCCTCACTTCCAGAGCAGCGAGCGAACAGGAAAGCCGGACCAGAAACGATGCTGCTGGCTACACAGTGCTGCCAAGCAGGAGCACCAACGGGCTCTTGGTCACCCCTGGTCACTCACCCTCTGTCAAACTCGGCCACGTCGCTCAGGTGTCCCCGGTAGGTCTCCAGCAGCTCCCACTGGGAGCACTGGGCTGGCAGGTGGGAAGGGCGCGGGCGGGAGAAGCGGAAGCGCACGGAGCCCGTGCGGGTGAAGCAGATGTAGCAGTCGGGCAGGTAGGAGGCATTGTACACCAGCCAGCCCACGCTCAGCATGGCAAAGTCGTGCAGGTGGAGCACAGCACCTGGTGGGGGACAAGGAGAGCCCGATGAGCTCGGCTGGGTGGAAGGTTTAATGTCATAACATTTGTTTGTCCATCCGGGGGTGTTTGGAAATGCTGTGAGTGAATTGTCCCAGCTGCTCTGCCTCCCCCAGGCTGGAGGATGTGCCCCTTCCACATCAGACACTGGGCAGGCAGAGCGTGACAGCTCCCTGGGAGCACAGGGAGGAGGGAAATCAATAGGGAGCTCTGCTTCTCCACTGGGATGGAAAATGCTTCGAGTTATTAAAGGTCTTTCAGACAGACTTTGCTGTGAGCTGGCTCAGGCCCCACTGATTTAAAGAGGAACTCACACAGGAGGCAGCAGTTTACAAGGCATGCTGGCTGGAGCACACCTGAAGCAAAGCTCTGTATCTAAGCTGTTTGGATCCCAGCTTCAATTTTTGTGTCTAGTCCGTGTCTCTTCTCTCAGCTCTCTGGACCTCTGGCATACACCAAAACCCCAGACCACGCTACTCTGGGGAGTTGCACTCAGATGCAGATGTACAATTTACTTCTGTGCCTTATCAAAAGCATGCTTGCTTACATTGTACATCTGCTGCTGGCCAGCACGAAGGGCCTCTGGGGCACTCTGTTATTGTGCAGAATGTTGGCAGTTGCCAGTCCTCCTGGCACAGGAAGCATCCTCTGTATGCTCACCTTCCTTATCATTTCATCTCGCTGAAATCTCTCCTTTTCCAAAGACTCCTGGTGTTATTGATGCTTGAACTAAGCCTCACCTTTGTAAAGGGAAGATACTGTGAGAGCTGAAGTCTTAGATATGTATTTTATTAGTCTAGGGGAGACCTCTCAGTCAAAATGGCTTTGATACCCTTAGGGGTAAAGGAAGAACATGAATAGCAAGAACAAGACATGAGACTGGTATGTATTTGACATTAGATTAAGTTCCAGACTATAATTTATAGTGGACTAACCTAATATAGACCCTAATGTCTACGATCTCCCAGTACAGAGGGTCTGGCTGTAAAGATGCTGAGGAGCTGTGGTTGCTGCTCTCAGCAGAGCTGGTGCACCAGACTGGGCATGCTGCAGCTGTCTGACCCTCCTCTGGCTGGCAATGTCACCTTCTTTCCTATCTGAGCAGCAACAGACATTACAATAGTGCTTGAAACAACAAGAACTCCCAGGGGCTCTGATCAAGCCCTACTCAAACAGCTATAAGGATGTGATCTTGTCTCTAAAAGCTTACAGCCTTTGCAAAGATTCCAAGAACCCATTTAAACATTGCCTGGATTGAAAAGTGTTAATTATTTGTTTCAACTCCCACTTGGTATCAATGATACTGGAAGTGAAGAGGGGAGTACTTTTAAATTCTGTTCAATTCAGCCATGAAAAGATAATGACATTTGACATACTAATTGTTTATGGTACCAGGTTAGGATGCTGCAAGACCAGGATCTGCATCCCACGGTGGAGGCTGGGAGGGAGAAGTTGGGAAGATTGCTCAGGGTCACATCCCATTTGGCCACGAACACTTCCAGGGATGGGGCAGCCACAATTTCTCTGGGAAACCTGTTCCAGTGCCTCAACACCCTCTGAGTAAAGACTTTTAATAATATCTAATCTACATCTCTCTCTTTTAATTCAATACTGATTCTCCTGATCTGTCACTAGCTGCCTGTGTAAAAAGTTGCTCTCTCCCTTTTATAAGCTGACTTTAAGTCCTGGAAATACACGGGCTTTGACTTGTACACAAGTAGAAAAGAAAATAAAGATTTCAGTGTTAGAGGTAACCCCTTCCTCCTCTAGTGCCCCCAGACTTTCCAGCAGATTTCCAGGTCTGCTACAGAACCACCTGCAGAAACACTTTTTGGGGGATGCAATGCTTTTGGCTAAGATACAGAATAAGACAAGGTTGGTGGCTTGTCTGTGGAATGTGTATGTGGGAAAGACACAGGCCCTGGCTGGAGCATGCTGTAAAAATGGGGATGTCTGTTATTTCTTGTTGCCTTTGCTTCCTCTTGCCCCTTCTCCACTCTTGAAAGACTTAAGGATCCATATTGTAAGTTAAACCAAATGCCACAATTGCTGGAAATGTGTATTCATCCAATCCATCCCCCTCTTCCTCTCTCCCCCTAGCCCATCCCTGAGCTCGGAATCAGGGCTTTTCCTGGAGCCCAATGAGCACAATTTACAGCTCTCATAAGCTTGTCTCCCACATCCTGTGTTTTGTCCCAGCTCAGAAAGCAGAAGATGAGAAAGGATGAGTAAGGTGAGACTCCTTAAGCCAAGCCTACCTTTTGGCATGTGCTTTAAGATGCTGAACACCTCGCTCTGATCAATGAGGCTTTTGGCCCGGAAGAAGTGCATGCTTGGAGGAAACTGTCCTGCAGTTATGGCTGTTTCCACTTCCTTCTTCTTGAGGTTTACCAGCTTTGTACTGAGCTGCTCCTCCTGCCTACTCAGCACCAAGTTGCCTCCTGTCTGATGGGATTTCTCCTCCTGCATCAGGGAGTCCCGGTCCTTCCAGAGAGGGCTGGGAAGGCAGAGGGAAGCCAGACTCAGGAGAAGGTATGCCAGCCTTATGCCTTGCCCACATGGAGGTTTCATCTCGGAGCTGCACCTTGACAGGGAGAAAAGACTGAAGCATTAGCAGAGGTCAGAAGGTGGCACCTCGGCAATGGGATGGGAAGTTGTTGGCCCATCCTGCAGGAGCAGTGGGGTACTGGGATGCTCAGTACTGGCAGGAGCAGCTGATGTTGGCTGAATTTAGGGCTCATGGATCAGCACAGTCCCTCTGGCTGCTGATTACACACAGCAAGGCTGGGTAGGGCAAAGAGATATTGCTCCTTGGATCAGACTGGCAGCACATCATGCAGTAAGGCAAAGGGTTCATCTAGTGCCTGCAGGCAGCCAAAAGCCAACCCTGGAATGGGGGATTGGTGGGATCAGGATGCTGCTTGCGAGCTGGGATGGATGGAGCCCTCATTGAGTAAGGGGTGCTGGCTGTGCTGATAATGTCCAGGTAAGGGGCTTGGCTTGAGCTAATCAGATCCTGATTCCCTCCAACTGAGAGAAGATCCTGTTGCACCCTTTTAGTATATTCCAACTATCTAAAGTCAATTTACAGGCAGGAAAGCCCAAGGCTTCCTCTGCAGTAACAGAGCTGTGTCCTTTCCTTGCAATCCCAGAAGAAAGGGGATGGAAACGAGACCATGGGAGCATCACAGGAGACAGGCACATGTGAACTCTGAGAGCTCTCCCTTCCCCCAAAAAGCACAACTGCAATATAATCCTTCAACACCAGGCTTTACTGACACTCCATGCCAATCTCTCCAGAGCAAAACACGGCTCAATATTTTGAAATAAGCCTATATGAATTACATGGAGAGGCTTCTGCTTCCACCCTCTCCTCCACCTGTGGGTCCAGGAGGACATCCCCGGCCCCTTTAGCGGGGGAGCAAACAGAGCAGGGCTGGATGCAGCTCCATACCAGGCCTGAGCTTAGAAAACATCCCAAAGAAAGTGTTATCTCATCCGTGGTGGGACCGACTCACTTACTGTTAACTCTCCTCCTCCTGGCATCCAGAGCTCACGCAGCTGCTGCCCGAGAGCGGCGAGCGGGTCTGGCGAGCCAGCACGGATAAAGATAAAAATAAAGAGCAGGGTCCGTCCCGGCCGTGCAGAGCGAGGCACACGGAGTTCCTCTTCCTGTGCTGCTCTCGCCCAGCTTTTATTTCACCCCAGCTGCACAGCTTCATGAATATATAAGGAGGAGGAGGAGGCAGGGGAGGTTATGGGGAAGCGGGACGCGGGAGCAGCGCTGAAGTCGGGCTGGGAATTGGGATGCCCAAAAAGCGGGGGACCCCCAGGTTCTGCACAGGTGGGTTGTTTAACCCATCACTGCCTGGCAGCCGGGGCATCCCATTAATTTGTCTGTCCCTCTTTCCCTGGCACACACAGGCAGCTGTCAAATATCCCGGGAGAAGCGCTCCGGCACGCTTCGGAAACTGGGAATCCCTGCTCGGACTGTCCCAGGAACACACTTAGGATTGGATATCTAACCTGATATTTCAGATCTGATATTGGATATCTAATGTGATATCTGAGATGACACTGCAAACTGCCGGCTGATGCTTTCACAGCTGAGAAAACAGCGATTTGCACGAGTACCTTGGGATGGTCCTGCACAGGCATCAGTCCAGCCCTGAGACACGCAGGGCTAAGCTCCAGCCTGGCAACAAGTCAGGGGCAGGGGAGGTGGACTTATTAAAAAAAAAAAAAATTAAAAAATCACGACGAATACAGTAATTTCAGCATTTTATTATTATTTCAGCAGTTTCACACAGTTCAACGGGCTGAGTTTCAAACTACTCAAAACAGATGTTACATAAACAGCTTCCAGGGGAGAACAAAGTCCATTTGGTTTAATTTAGTCCAAAATTTTAATAATTCTAAATATTTTTTTAATGTATCTTGTAAGTTAAGAACTATTAAAAACGACCCACAGCAGTCACAAATACTGTTTTTGAGGCAGAGACAGTGGGGTCTAATCAGTAATATCTTAAATTTCATTAGCTGGCACTACAACAATGGACTGAAAGCAGGGTGTTCAGGATGCCCACCCTCCCTCCCTGCACACCTGGCAGCTTTTCCTCCTCTCCTGGTCCCTTCACTCTCTTCTGTCACTAAGATCAGTCCCAGCATCCATGCAGGAATCAGTCAGGAATCCCAAATTCTCCTTAAGCCCTGCCCATGGCAGCATGTGCAGAGGGTGGCTGTGCCCCCTTGCCTGCTCCTCAAGGATGAGTCTCTAGATGATCCTGCTCCCAAAAAGGGAGATCAGTGGAGTGGAAAAATGACCCAAATATGCTCAGCAGCAGCTCTTGGTTGATGAAAGCAACATGAGGATGGGATGTGTGAGGAGGGAAGTGCATGGAAAAAGGATGGTTCAGTAGGAACGAGAGTTCCAAATACCTTCAAGGGAACAATATCAGTGAAGGAAGGGAATTGCTTTAATTTTCTTGTAGTAGTAAAGCCTAGCATTAGTTCCATAAAACCAAATTCAGCCCAGGCAGTTGGAAAACTGGCTCTGTAGTGAGCAATTGGGTGCTAAAGACAGGTTCCCACTGTGGAGCACTGAGGGGGGTTAAAATGCTGTGTGAGGGATCTCAAATAGCTCACAGCCAGGCAGGGCTCTTGGAAACGCCTGCCAGAGGGCCTCAGAGATTTGTAATGGTTCATCCTTTCAAATCACATTTAAAAAACAAAAGTCCAGAGCTCAACCACTTCTTTGATGGGACTTTTCCACGTTAACCATTGCAGATATTGCCAGGAGAGTTTTGTACAGATGTTGTAAGGGTTGGACTAGGAAATAAGCAGGTGTTTGAGATGCTTTGCTCTCTATTAAAGTGTGGTGCATGCTGTGAAAATAAAAAATCCTAGTGAAATAGGACCACAGCTGCTTTTAGGTGGGATCTGTCTGAACATGAAAGGTGGAAAGAGGGAGAAGAGGACAACTAGGAGCCCCATCTGGGGGAGGATTGGGTTCATCTAGTGCCTGCAGGCAGCCAAAACCTTGGCTTCAGACTTCCCTGGGAACTGAGGTGTGGTGGAGGAAGCCTTGCCCTGACTCAAGGACTAACAAGGAATGTTACAGTTGTCATTTCCACACCAACACATCTCTCAGCTTGTTTGAATTCTTCCTGAGAACCAAGCAGCCTGTTTGGAGGTTTTGCAATAGCTCTGTGTCTCTCCACAGGAGCATGATTGCAGTTCCTGTCCAGTCTTGTGTGGCCCCTGGAATAATCTTCAGCTCCCTGGCTCTGGTCCCAAGGCTGATAGGGGCACCAGGCATGCCCTGCTCCTTCATCAAACAGCCCAGCTTTTCCTTGGTTTCTGGGGTGGTTCCCAGCCCCCGCAGCTGTGCCCAGCAGTGTTCCAAAGCCCCTGGCCTGGGTGTGTCAGTGCAAGCTGCAGGCATGCCCCTTCTCTGTGCCCAGCTGCACCTCAGACTCATCTGAAGCTTTAAATAGCTGGTGGCCAGCACTGAGTGCTCACAGCGAGTTCCCCCTGCTCCAGTTTCAGTTCCATATGTGAACTGCTTCCCTTCAAACCTTTTGAGCTTCTGGAAGGCGACAGGTACCATTCCCAGAAGGTTTCCCCACCTCTCTCTCCTGCATCTCCCCTGCTGTGGCCACAGCTGTGCCAGCTGTGCTGGCTCCCACCACCCTGGTCCTTGCACAGGGGAGTGTGGGCAGCTCTGGGGGTGCAGGAAGGGGGAAGGATCACAGAGGCAGCAGCAGCAGGCTTGCAGATGTGTTTGTCACTTCATGTTTCAGTCAGCATCCTGCAGAGTCCATCCTGCTGCTGTGGAGGGTCAGCCTGCAGGGTGCCACTGCAGGCCCCAGCCCCAGGGTAAAGCCTGTGTAGGTGACAGCAAAAGCTACAGGGATAAATCCAGCAGAGGCAACACCTAGGGGTGATGCAGACCTGGCTGTGTTTTCTGTTTCTTTTTGTGTAAGCCAAACTCCAACCAAGGAGCATTTCTGAGAGCACAGAGGGTAGGGATGCCTTTTACCTTCCTGGCCTCTCTGAACATGTTATAATCCAGGCTGTTCTCTGGAAATAGCACTGTAAGGCTGGGAAGAGAAGACTGGAGCAGGGAAACGTGTTTCTAGCTCACCAGTTAGCCATTATTTCCGTGCCAGCTGCCTCATTTGTGCAATGGAACCAATTCCCTACCTAGCTATGAAGATTATTTGCTGTATTTGCTGGTGCAATAGCCGTGGTCCCTGGGCCAGCAGCTGTTGTAAAGCAAGTCTGCATAAGAGACACATCCTGGTTTGGAGAGGGGAACCACGAGGTGGGACAAGGGGCAGGAAAAGAGGCAGAGGGGTGCACAGGTGAGTGAGGGCAGGCTGTGGAGAGTCCCTGCCTCTCTGCTGGGCCCAGGTGAGACCACAGTGACTGCTCTGAAGCAGTCCCAGTCACTGGTTAATGTCTGCAAAAGGCTAAGAACATGTCACAGTGCTAAGTGCTATAAAATATTAGTAAGAATAGACTGTCCTGGGATGTTTGGGAACATTAAAGCTCCCCACTGGACCACTACATAACCCCTGCTTTGGTCTGGCTGGGCACAGGTTGGTATTTTTATTTCTTTCCAGCACACTTTGTGCCCAGCCAGGCAAAACCACGGATCATTTCCCAGCCCAACAGGGACATCAGTGGGAGCCCTGCAGCAGACAGAACGCTGGGGTGCCCTGGGTCTCGCTGGCAGCATTGCTCCCCAGTCTACAGACAAGCTCTGCTCACCCTCAAGGTGCCTCACACCCCTCCAAAAACCCTCCCTCCCCTCAGCTGCCCAACCATGTCTCTGTGCATCTGTCCTTTCACTCCTCCTCAGCTACATCCATAACTACCCAATGATTTAAAATGAATAAGACACTTGAGATGCTACAGGAGCTGCTGATGGAGAGAGCCAGGGAAAGGGCTAAATTCCCAGGTTAATGATGAATCACTCTGGGAGTGGAGTCATTGATTTGTAATCATTGCCTGGCTCCCAAATATAATAGCCATGAATTCCTCTGACCAGCAACCGAGACAAGGTGCTTTGGGCTATTCCCAGCACACCTGCAAAAGTTCAAATCTTGCTCACAATAGCGGGGCTCAGAGCTCCAGGAGCCAAACAGCTCCACCAGCATTTGCCCTCTAACAAGAGGGGCTCAGCAGCCAGCACACACACACCCAGCTGTCACTGCCCTGCTGCTGGAGCTTAGCATGCAAATCAATAAATGAAACTGCACCAATTCCTTCCAATCCTTCACCCGTGCCCACCCCAATTCCCTGCTGCTGTCACCCCACCCTGGAGGTCTGGGAAGGCGAAGTACAAGACCAAGTGAGCCGGTGTGTGTTAACACCCCATTGCTTTGGGGCCACCAGCAGCCTGCCAAGGGCTCCCAGGGCACGAGCTGGGAGCTTTGGGTATTTGGGAAAGGGGCTCAGTGCCATCCAGGGCAGGTCCCAAGCTGTCACCAAGCCTTCTGTGCAAAGATTCCCAGAGCCTCAGGTTTATTATTTGTATTCTTGTATTCTCTTCCTCTCCTACGCACAGGGACAAAAATGAGAGCAAACTAGGCAACCAAAACATCGTGGATTAACAAGTGAACTTGATTCTCTCTCTCTGGGGGATGGCTTTAGGGAGGGTAGAAGCCCAGTGCTACCATGGGACGTGTTTTCTTGCTTTTTGCATTAGTCACATCAGGTTTCCTGCCCGACCTGTGGTGTCTCTCCATCCCCAGGCTGTGCTGACTCACAGGGGTTAATGTGGTTTTGGAGGGATTTGTCCTAGCATAAAAGCAGGCAAAATTCCTGTCCCTAGGAGCTATATTCCATGCAAACATCCTCCCCACTCTCAGCCTCCTACTCCACCCACCTGACTTCCCCAAACAGAACCAAAAGCCAACCAGGTCTCTGTCCTAATCCTTGCACCTCTGCCCCTGGGGTCCATCACACCTTGGCACAGAGGATCTGAGTTCATCCGTGGTCACTGTGCAGCTGTGACCTCTGCCAGGACATCCTGTGTCTCCATGTCAACCATCTCCTCATCTCACTGCCTCTCCATTTCTCTGTGTCTACATCACCCACACAGCTCCACATCACACAGACTCCAAAACCAGGCAGTAAAAAGTACAGGGCC